TGTGAATCCATCAGGACCTGGGCTTTTGTTTGTTGGTAAGTTTTTTTTTTTTTTTTTTATTACATTTTCAATTTCATTGGCGGATATTGGGTTATTGAGTTTTTATATCTTCTTGATTAAGTTTTGGCAATTTGTATCCACGTAGGAATCTGTCCATTTTGTCTGTGTCTTTGATCCTGTGAAAGTAAAGATTTTCAAAATAGCTATTGATGATCTTCTGAATTTCTACAGGATCTGTAGTAATTTCTCCCTTTTCATTCCTTTTTTTTTAATTAATTTATTTATTTTGTGTGTGTGTGTGGCCAGTTCAGCCCACCAGGGGGCGGGGCTGGTTGGTATGTGGTGCTGGGGATTGAACCGCGGTCCCAGTGTTTTTGCTTAGCTTGTTCTAAGTAGGTGCTTTAGACCACTGAACCATCTCACCAGCCCAAGGAGTGTGTTTTTAATTTCCATATGTTTATGGGGTTTTTGTGGTTTCTTTTGTTGTTAATTTCCAGTTTCATTGCACTGTAGCCAGATAATATGCATGGGATAATTTATGTTTTCTTGCATATACTTAAGCATGCTCTAGGGACTAGTATGTGGTCTATTTTAGAGAGTGTTCCATGTGCAGCTGAAAAGAATATATATTCAGATGTTGGGTGGAACACTCTGTATATGTCCACTAAGTCCATTTGTTCAATGGTTTGATTCAGTTCTGCTACTTCTTTTGGTAATGATTCTTTTTTTTTTTTTTTTTTTTTTTTTTGCAGAACCAGGGATTGAACTCAGGCCCTTGCGCTTGCCAGGGGAGGGCTTATTCTCCTAAGCCACCTCCCTGGCCCCCTTTGGTAATCATTCTTAACATTATTATGCAATATGTTTTTAGATATTTTTCTTTCATTGACCTCTGTAAGTTGAATATTTTTCATGAGTTTACTGATATTTCACCTTCTTTCAGTTGCTTTTGTGTATCTCTTTTGGTTGGATTGCTTATATATTTTTAAACTAAATGTTCTTTCTCTATTAAGGAAACAAATATCTTACCACTCAAGTGTCATTTATTTCTTAAGCCTATGAGTATTTTAATTAGTATATGTATTTTAGTATATTACCTATGTTCTTTGGGAAACAGCTTTTATTTATTTTTTTTTAAATTTTATTTATTTATTTATGAGAGAGAGAGAGAGAGAGAGAGAGAGAGAGAGAGAGAGAGAGTGGTGTGTGTGTGTGTGGCCAGCTCAGCCCACCAGGGGGCGCGGCTGGTTGGTATGTGGGCTGGGGGATCGAACCGCAGTCCCTGATGCTTTGCCAAGCTTGTTCTAAGTAGGTGCTTTAGACCACTGAGCCATCTCTCCAGCCCGGAAACAGCTTTTATATTGGTAATAAAATTACAGTTTTAATTGATGAGAGCAGAACCACTGTGTTGAGTAAGAAAGCAAGAATTCAAAATGCTTAGAGGTAGCTTCCATGCATTCGAATGAGAATGCCCAAAAGAATGATGTGTTTATTTTTATTTTTTTGATGTTGTTTTGCTGTTTATTTTGAGACAGGTTCTCACTATGTCATTCAGGCTGGACTTGAGCTCACTGTGTAACCCAGGGTGGTTTCAAACTCCAGTCCTGTCTCTGCCTCCTGAGTGCTGGGGTTACAGCCACGTACCACCACACCTGGCACTGCTTGTTTTTTTTGACACAGGGTCTTGCTAAGTCTTTAATTAACCCAGGCTGGGCTAGGCGCCAACTTGCAGAGCTCCTGCCTCAGAGTCACACAGTACTGATATTACAAGTGTGCACCACCACCCCTAGTTTTGCCTGCTTTCTAACCTTTGTTTTCATATTATCTATCTTCCAGATGTATGAGTGTCCAGATAATCTGTTTCACTTTTGTCATATATTTCTAGTCATTAAAATAAGAATTCACATTTTTGATGCTTGTCATATTCTATTTTTCAAAAATGCTTAAAATATACTATCAGATGTACATTTTAAATTTTTTTCAAAACTCCATGGTGTAGTAAATACAAATGATTATCTACCAGTGACCAGTGAGTATTTTTTTTAACTTTATAGGTACTGCTTTTTGCCTTAAGTGTAATATAATAAGTAATTTAAGTTCAGAAGGGTTTTGTTTGTTTGTTTGCTTGTTTGGATGGCTTTGTTAGGATGCCTTCAGGGCATTTCTAGTATGGCTTGAGGATCTGGGGATCGAACCACAGCAACCTGAGCCTGACTGCTCTGTTTAAGCAGTCACTTAAACAACTGAGCTAATGGGCAGACCCTCAAGAAGTAATTTAAACAATGAGTTTTTAAAAAATTACCAGTGAGTATTTTTATGCAAAAACATAAGTTCCCATATTTGTTCATTTATTTACTTATTGCAATACTAAGGATAAAACCCACTACTTTTACACTAAGTTACATTCCAGCCCATTCTTTTTTTCTTTTTATCTTGGTAGGTCACTAAGTTCCCAGGCTGGGAAACTCACAACCTTCCCACCTCAACTTCTTGCTAGGATTTCAAGTATGCACCACCATACCCAGTATACTGCTCTATATTTACAAAAACAAAAAAACAAACAAAAACCCCACAATTGATTAACATTAAATTGTTTATATTTTACAGAAACAAAAAGTTTGGAAATCTTTCTGAACTTTGCTCACTAGTCTTATCAGCTTAAACCAGTGAGCTATGTCAATTTGAGCAATTTAAGCCAAATTTCATGAAGCTTCAATTTCCTCATGTATGATACGGATATGCCATTAGCCTCTACATCAGAAGTTCCCTGTGAAGATTACCTTAAATAATGTAATAAAGTACACTGTACATTATCTAGCAATGATAAGCCTTTACTGAACTAAATCAAAAAGTTTCTTAGAGATTTTTTCCTTCCTGAAGATTTTTGAAAAATGTGGCGCTGTGGGAATACCTCAGCCATCTAAGAGCTTGCCTGACTAGTGCAAGGTCCTGAGTTTCGGAACCCTGGGTGCACTGTGCTGGCTGAGAAACCTGGCACGGTGGTGCACACCTGTCATCCCAGCTCCAGGGAGCCTGAGACGGGAGGATCACATGAGTCCTAACTGTGTAGCAAGACCCTGTATCTAAATAAATAAACAATAATAAAAATTTTTTTGGAGAAATTTTAGCATTTGGTCTAAAAATAAGTAAGCTAACGGTGAATTATCATAATCTCAAACACTGCTGCAGTGGCCTCAGCTGCTTTAGTGGGGGGGGTAGGGTATTGCTGCATAGCTTATAAAAGGCAGCTAGGGGTATCTTCTGGTTTATGCGTCAATAAGGCTTAGATTACTTTACTGAAATAAAATAATGATTGTCCTCTCCCTGTGGCTGATGTTTGGGTAAATCCTTTATACTATGCTTTCTGCCCTTCCTTATGCTTCCTAGCTGAGTTCCAGAAATTGGGGATCCAGTGCTTTTACCAGAACTCTTATCTGGTAGTTTGGGCCAATGTGGTATTCCTGTGCTGCTTGCCATCTCAGCTGCCTCATATCTGCTTAGAAATTCAAAACATCATTAAGAAGACCTGCATTGTATACAGCTTTGTAGCTACCGTTCCACTCCCCAGGTATCTTGTCAGGGATGAGAACAGAACCATTGGCCACCTCACCTTTGACTTCTGCTTTCCACCTCCACCATGGCCCTTCTCTTTTGGAGTTGATCTTTAGAGTTAGGACAAAGAGGAGGAAGAGGAGGAGGAAGAGGAGGAGGAGGAGGAGAAGGAGGAGGAGGAGGAGGAAGAGGAAGAGGTCACTTAATGTGCAGAAGGATCCAACTCACTTTTCTCATGGTGCCTTCTCCACTCCCAACAGTATTTTTTTTTCTCCAAATGCCTTCAGGCCAGGTTTGGCTGGCTGGAGTGTTGTGGGGATCGAACTACAGCACCCTGAGGCTGACAGCTTTGTGGAAGCAGCCACTTAAAGGACTGAGCTAGGGCCAGGCCCCCTGCCAACAGTATTTGTGAGTGGGATATTTTCTTTGCTATACAAATGTATAGAACTGTAATAGCACATTACCTTCTGACTGTGTTGAGCTGAACAATATTCTTTTGTTTCAATGAGAAACCACCAATGAACATTAAAAGTTACTGAGAATGTGCCCAATATTATTTTTGTAGTTCTGGTGTCAGTGCTTGATACACTATAACATTCAATAAGTGTTTGTTAGGTGGATAGATGAACCATCTAAGTAATTTATGACCTCAGCACAGATCTAGGCCTGCTTTACCTCTAAGCAGTACTGTGCAGAAAGGAGTCTGTTGCATTGGACGTATTCCAGACTGAGTACCCTACTCCCCCCTGTCTTGGTGGCTTCCAGGTTGAAACTACTACTAAACACCACCAGTATTTTGCGGCCTAAGTATCAGTGTGCTGAGGATTTTGATAACATCTGGGGGGCCAATAAAGAAATCACCGCTGCTCTCCAAGATCCTGTGATTCTTCGGGCTACTTGCCCTTACAGTGCTGCCGGTAATAGTTCACTTTTAATAGCATTCTTTTAAAAATCTTCTTCCCCTTGG